TGGGGTCAGGAAGTCTCCACTGACCTGAGTTGAGAGTTGGGCTAAAGTTAGATGGCATGGCCATTTTAATCTTGAGATTCTTTTTTTTTTCGGTCACATTAAAAAATATTGATTAGATATCACTCCTGGGCCCATCACAGTAACCCAGGTAGATCCCTCCTCCCGAGACTCCCTCCCCACTCACTGGTCTTCCAAGGCCCAGCTAAGACCAGGCAGGCCTCTGCCCTCACAGGCGCGCATCGACAACTCCTCCCAGATGTTCAAATAGTCACTACTTAACTCTTCTGGAGCTGTAAATACGCCTTCGACTGGCACACGTGCCAACTGTAGGCAAGAGTCACTGTTCCTCATGGCAGACACGCCGCTCGGCTCTAAGAGCATGAACTACTCAGTCATGGTGGGGCAGGCAATGACAGAGGACTCTGTGGTGAGGCACTTAAAACATTTCCCATAAAGTTTATGCATGAAAAACTAGCCTTGTGTGAGTCCGGGTGGACGAGAGAAACAAATTCATAGACACTCACATGTGTATGAGAGAGCTTTATATCAAAGAGCAAATATGTATTAAGAAAACATCCCAGCCCAGTCCAGATCATAAGTCTGATGTTAACCCATATATCAAATACCAGTCTGTAAATTCCAAGGCTCTGACTGCCATCAGCATAGCTCCATGTGGCCTGTCAACAGGACTGTCTCACAAGGAGACGAAGCAGGTCATGTATCTGGTCTCCAGTGAGTTATTTATCTCTCTGGCACCTCCAAATGAAGTCATCAAGCTGCGACCTTACTGACAGGCTACACTCTACCCCTCCGCAAATTGACCCGATTATCTAACTACCACAGCCCACTCCAGGTTCTTATCTGACACATGGAGACAACCTTAAACAAGAACACGCTCAAAACAGAGACCCCTGGGTTCATGAAGACTGATCTGCATGGACCCAGCAGCCTCCTGCCCTTACACGAAGGTGACCAGGTTTTAACATTGGTAAAGCGGGACACCACTGATAAAACTCATATCCTGGCGAAACAGCCACATGGAAGCCGAAAACTGTATACCCTAGATTGTCGTGCATTCTTTCCAAAAATCGGGGCTTTTTAAAAACCGCTGTGGGAAGCGGGGTAAAAAATGTTAAAAATCGGGACTGTCCCGCCAAAAGCGGGACATCTGGTCACCTTACCTTACACCTGAGCCCCTGACAGCACCCAATGTCCCTTCTGTGGTCCTGCCCTAGCCTGAGCCTACACAGCATGATGCAGGCCCATCATCTCCGACCCAGGGCTTAACAGACCTGCTGGCGCAGTCTTAGCATATGCACCACAGAAGGAAATGGCGCGCACACTCTAGCAGTAGGGCTTTATCGAAGCGCATACCCATCTCTTCCATTCAGATCAATGCTGCGGTGATACAGATAACAGCAAGTGGGGCAGAATCAGGACAGCATATACATTCACTGTCTTAATTAGAACTCCTCCTTGCCCACAGCCTCACTTCCAACCCGGCCTAATTTTCTTCAGGTCCCAAATGTGGGATCCATTTAATTAATTTAAAATCCTCTGGAAGAAAACGAAAGATATTAGGCTATGTAAACACCTCGGATGAGAACTGCCTATACCACCTTGCTTATCCCAGTTCACAATCATGCTAGGACACAAGGGTCCCCCAGTGACCCATCCATATGCTGCACTGACCGGCATCTTAATTCAGATTGACTTGTTCTGACTTCATAGGATGCAAATTAGGTGGGCTGACAGGAAGTGCAAGGCGGGGACAAATGGCGCTGGCTGAGTGCTAATGACAAGCCATTTTCTGCTGCAGGTGGTCACAGCTGGATAACCCTATGGAGCACAGCTCTACACTGCACTCTGCAGTGAGCAGGGAGCCACTCAACAGCTAGGGCCTGGGCTTTTTATGGGTTTGTTTGTAATGACAGGCCAGACTGGGGTCAGGGGGTGGGGCAGGGGAGGCAGAAGGACATGCCAGTACTGTCACAGAAACATCATAAAACAAGCAGAAACTGTCAGAACTCCGCCAGACAGAACTCTGGAAAACAGTCAGAGGCTTCTAGCAACCAAGTGAATGCTGAAGCAAGGGAAAAACAACCGAAAAGCAGCCAGAGAACTTGGTGGCTTTTCCCACACATCTGTGCCCCTCCCTCTTCCAGCTGCAAGGCAGAGGAGGCTAGGTTCCCAGCACCTGGTCCCTGGCTCCAGAGGGTACAGAACTAACTTGATCTGTAATTGTCTGCTCTATTCAACCCAGGGACAAGCTCAGGGATTGATACAGAGTGTGCACCTGTTTCGCCACACCTTAAACTCACTCAGACTGGAATGCCAAGCAGCAGGCACTGTCCAAAACCAAGAAGGCTAACAGTCAACCTGCTTAGGGCAAGGGGCTGAGGTTGGACCTGTTTAAGAACTGCCTGAAGTTTGGAAGGAGTGCTGGGAGCTTCTTTGGGAAGTTACTTGAAAGCACTCATGCCTACAGATACAATACTCCCCTTAACTGCTGTTTGGACCCAGCTTTAACACCCCAACTAGAGGCCAGTCTGATTAAATCTACTCCCCAGCCACTCCCCTGATCACATTCTCACACTCCTGGACCACTAAGCAATTGTCCTAATCTCCTTGGACCCAGGTACCCAACAAGTGGGGCAGTCCCTAGGCCCTGAGCCTGCTGAATATTCCAAATGCCCAGTTCTCAGAGAGCCTGCAAAACCTAGCTAACCTCATCCTAAAATTTCGGTGGGTTGCTGTCTCCCTGGGTGCACCCCTAAGCAGTGCTGCCTCAAAACATATTGTGGTCAAGTGGGACCTGTGAGTAATACAGTCCATTTGTTTCCTGGTCGTTCTGTGGGCTTCACTCAACTCATACCATAACTGACAGACCAAGATGCCCACAGACCGCTCTGGGTCGAACTGAAACAACAGGAACATTTAGAAAGTCACATGCCTGACCTGAGCAGAGAAGACCCTAAGCTTTTACCTTAGGCTGATCATAGGATGGATGTTGAAGAACCCTGCACACAGCCAACCGGAAAAGACTAGAGAGACAAAGACTCTCTCTCTTTTTCATCTCCTTGTCAAAATACCAGCTGAACACATGCTACAGGGACAGGCAGTTCAGTGACCACACATAACAGACATAGTCTTTGTACACCTGGCCTGGAGTGGTAAAAAGTTATGGGGGAAAAAATCACCCCACAGATTTTAACTGCCTTCAACAATCAAGGACCCACAAATTCTGCAGAGGAGAATCTGACCTCCAGTCTTACTACATAATAATACTCAAATGTCCAGTTTTCAACAAAAAGTCACAAGGTATACATAGAAATGGCTAGGATGAGCAGTTATATGTAAAAGATGAGTGCTGGAAACTTCCTGAGGCAGCCAGACGCGGGGCTTACTAGATGGAGATTCAACAATTCCCCTAAACATGTTCAGAGCGCTAAAGAACACAATGAATCAAAGAAATGATATATGAGCAAAGTGAGATGTTCAGTAAAAAGAAAAAAATATTTTAAATTAAAATTATATAAATTATTTACTGCTTTAGTCTACAATTTTTTAATTCACAAGAGACCTCCACACACAGCAAGTAGATTGTGTGTGTGTGTGTATGTATATATACATATATATTTTTTTTTCTACAGAGTGGTTTTTCTTTGGTTAGATACAGGAAAAGGAAATAACCTATGCTTTTCCCTTAACCTTCATATGAAAAATAGATATATTAGAGAAGCTAGTTATTTCTTTTAAAAATTTTTTTGTTTTATTATTTATTGTTGTAGTTATTTCTTACAATTGTTCTTGTGCAATTTTCCCGTGATATGCATCCAGAAGATGTATTTGTCACCCGTTTCTTACTGAAGAAGTTTCAGCAAGAGCCCTTGCTGTCTTTAGCACTTTACAATCAGGAGCAACAAATATCCTTCTTAATTAGCTCGATCTACTAATTAGCTTAACTCCGTAACATCCAAGACAGGAGTTTGGTCCAGTTTTCTCTATATACCAGTGGTTGTCAACTTTCCTAATGCCATGACCCTTTAATACAGTTCTTCGTGTTGTGGTGACCCCAACCATAAAGTTAGTTTTGTTGTTACTTCATAACTGTAAGTTTGCTACTGTTACGAATCAGGTGACCCCTATCAGAGGGTCATTCAACCTCCCAAAGGGGTCGAGACCCACAGGTTGAGAACTGCTGCTCTATACCCTAATGAGCCCATCTTTGTCAGGAAAACTGCATTTCTTGAGGAGGCAAACCCCAATGATACTGTTTTAGGCCTTGCTATGTTAACAACTGAGTAACAACCCCAAATAAGGTGATACCACACAAGAATAAGTACAAGACATGGCATCCTCAATTTTACTCACCAATAATCAGGACCTACAGAACCACACAGCACAGATGGACCAATTTCTGCTTCTTTGAATTTTAAATTGCCTTTTACAACATTTCCCTGGCGCCGATGAGCTAATGTTCCGCAATATGTTGGTTTGTGAAATTCAAGCAACTGTGCCTTCCTCTCAGCCCCACCACTCTGCCTCAGCCACACACTGAATATTGGCCATAAAAATCTACTTAAAAGAAATATGAAGTGATTCTGAATGCCATAGACAGCAAAGACAGCCTCTAAATGTACATCGGACTGCAGATGGAAGGTGAAGCCCACGTTTGCCTCTCTCTTCAGTCCCACGGCAGCATATGAGGGTAGCTGTTCCAGGAGCAGGTAGGGAATGTGTTGCCTGGTGACTTTCAGGACTAACTAACATGGCAACTTCCCCTCTCACACATTTTGGGTCTGAGAATTAAGTGCCTCCCCCTCTGTTTTCTGCCACCTTGATCACAATCTAGATGTGACTTACACGGTTGAGGCAACTACATGTGGTGGTGGGCCCTGGTACCCTGACATACCCATGCACAAAATAGGGATGTGATGAGCAATGAAAGAATTTCAACATTTGTAATATTTCACAAGACAACCATTTTCACACATCAATGAATCGTCTAACTTCCTTTATTCAGAAATAAGAGCGACATGAGAACTAAGATGCCACCTGAAACAGCAGTTCACCAAGAGGTGATAGAAATAGCCCTGCATTTGGAGGGGTTAACTGTAATTACGAGAGAGAGAGTGATTTTTTTTTCTCTTCAAAATGTATCTCAAGAAACTGCTGGGGCGGGGGTATCTCATTATTAAATCTCCATGTTTGCAGGGGAACCTACAGGTCACAAAAGTCGAAGCAGCAAGAGCTTCTTCTGAGAACTATCAGTTACAGTAGATATGGGGACCTTCTAGAAGGATTGAGATTCTCGGGTTCACCTTTGAAAGGATTAATCTAGCATCTCCAAGCACTTCACTTGTAAGAGGAAGCTATGTGGGATACCTCTCTCTCTAGTTGGCCACATTTAGCCATCTGTCACTCATGGCATGCAGTGATGATTTTGAAAAGACAAAGTGAGGGACATGGGAGCAGGGAGAGACACGGACGTTTTGACTGTGCCCCCTGTGGCCCAACAAGCACCCCTATGTGCCTTGCTCCAGAAACCGCAGGTCTTCTAGGAGTTCCTGGGCCACGGTCTGGAGGTGGGAATTGCGGCTTTTTGACATGGCCAGGATTCGCTGCAGGGGCAGGGAACTCTGGAACTCAGTGGCTGACTTGGAGAAGACTTCTGGCTCTAGAACCACAGACTGGACCAGGCGCAACACATGGAGACACACTTCGGCATCGGGATCTGCGGGAAAGGAGTAAAGCCTCTGGTTAGAATAGACTTCCTACAGTATCTGAGGGTGGTTTGTCCATCAAGGGATCTGTGCCCTTTGTGAATGACTGACTTATTTGAAAGTATTGAAAGGTTTCTAAGAACTACACCTGACCCAGAAAGAGTCACTACTTGATGTGAAAGCTTAGTTCATAGAGTAGCGTAAGAAAATGCATTCATCATATTACCTGAAAATACTGAACTAAAACGATGAACTAGGAGCGCTTTCCATGCCGTGTGCTGTAATTCTATTCACTTGTGGGATCTTTAAAAGGTGCTGTTTCATTTTCACTCCGATTGTCGAAGCCCCACCAAAACCACACACAATCACATGTATTCTGAGTGGCCGCTGAGCTCTAGAACGTTGCAGGGTGTAACAGGTCACACCAGTACTATTCCACTATTTTCCATCCGAATGGCCTTTGAGTTATAGAATCTGTCTGTTGTGGTGTGCCGTGGCCTATTCCGACCCAGAGCCACCCTATGGGACAGAACCGCGCTTCTCTGTGGGTTTCCACGGCTGTGATCTTCATGGAAGTCGCTCACCAGTTCTTTTCTCCTACGGAGCAGGTTTGCATTGATGACCTTGTAGGTTAGCAGCCTAGTGCTTTACCTGTGTACTACCAAGGCTCATATAACCTACTGTTCTTGTTACAAATTCGGAAGTCTAAAACCTCTGCATCTCAAAACCTATTACACAAAGCAAAGACAGTAGTCAAAATATCACGGTCCTGGTACGGCAACAGACAGAAAGACCAGTGGATCACAATTTCGAGCTCAGAGTTTCCTTGTGAAGCTGTAGGTCACAATTCAGGATAAGAAATTTTCAGGCTACCATTGTCACCTCAGGACAGCCTCTCTCAGGTGTGCCCACAGGCCTGCAGCCTGCTGCCCCTTTGCCTCTCAGCCGCACAGCCCTTGGCCTCCGCCCTGCTCAGACCAATGTCACTAGGTTCTTTTAGTTCTACTCTACCAGTAAGCCTTGGCCCAAGCCACTCAGCTCGAGCTTTGTGGGTCCTCAAACTTAGCTCCCAGACAAGTATCAAGGGGCACACTATACTTCACGTGCGACGGTCCTGCCTAAGGCACCCAGTTTGCTCATGCTTTGGCCTGGGAAGCCTGCCATTCTCTCTCAATGGTCTCTGGTCCAGCTGCCTTTGCTGTCACTCCTTTCTGCCACTGCTTCTCACTGGGCTGACCAAGGAGGTTCAGCACAGGGATCTCAGACCCAAACCACCTGCTCAGCTCCTGGCTCGTTATTGCTGACAGGAGTAAGACCCTCCTTTTCTGTCTCTGCGTACTAGGATGGTAAAACTGGCCAATCGGAATGTTAGGATTCCATATACTTCCTAACTGCCCATATTAGATTTGTACAAAGCATCTAGATCAGGGGGTCCTCAAACTTTTTAAACAGGGGGCCAGTTCACTGTCCCTCAGACCCGTTGGAGGGCCGGACTATAGTTTAAAAAAAATCAATGAACAAATTCCTATGCACACTGCACATATCTTATTCTGAAATTAAAAAAACAAATGGGGCAAAAACACCCGGTGGGCCGGATAAATGTCCTCAGCGGGCTGCATGTGGCCCGCGGGCCCGTAGTTTGAGGACGCCTGATCTAGATAAAAGATTATCAAGTTTAATTAGAAACTTATTCCGGTGGCATAGCTCTTTGTATTACTAGATTGTAAGCTTTAAAAGACTCCACACCTTCTCTAATAGAAGACTTCTAATAATGATCTACTCAAATTCTTAATAGTTACCATGATAGTCTGTTCACACATGTAAGCGATAAAAATTTTAAATGTTTTTACAACCATTCAAAATTTCTAACAGTTGAAATTATATTTAAAGAATCTAACAAATCTTCCTTTTCATCAGCTGATAAAATGTTCTGTGATAATGCCAATGGCTTTCAAAAGCAATCAAATATTTTTCTGTCAAGCATTTCACAATAGTGGTGAAATTCTAATGGCAACCCCTGGGGGCTTGCGAGTCACTAAAAAGGCATGTCTTTAATCTGGGCCACAACCTGGAATCACATTTACTACATCTTAGACTATGCACTATATTCTTTGGCACAAGTATGTGGATTTTTCCAGCCTCTTCATGAGCCCCGGGTTTACCAACTTTGAAGAACAGGAGGAAAGGAAATAATCCTCCTTGATCCAGTCACTGCCCCAAGTCCTCACCTTGACTTACAAAGCCCCGTATGACCTGCCCGTGCCCACTTCCCGGGGCTCATCACACAGCACTTTCCCTACCTCCTCACCATGTACTTCTAGCACTGGCCAGTTCTCAATTTTCTGAGAATACCTATTGACCTCAGCTCGCACTGCCTGATAAATCATGTCTGGATGTTCAAAAAAAAATTACGAGGCATGCTAAAAGGCAAGGGGAGAAAAGTCAGCAGAGACGAAACAAGCATCAGAACCAGATTCATGTGTGACTCAGATATCAAAATTATCAGATAGGTAGCTCTGCCAGTTAAGTGTGGGACTATTAACCAAAAAGGTAGCCGGGTCAAACCCACCAACTGCTATCATAAAGACTTACAGCCTTAGAACACCTTTAGAGAATTTCTGAGTCAAAATTAACTTAATGGAAGTTTTGGTTTGGGAATAATTAATAAGCTAAGGCACTGCGATGCTTAGGTTTTTTTGTCAACTTAGTGAACCTGTAAGAAGAAATGGGTCCGGTCCATTGACCAGTCAATCTGGTCACAATCTAGTGATACCCCCTCCTTGAGGAAGTGGTCTCTTATGAGACACCCAGTGGAGAGCTCGACTCTCTCTCTCTCTCTCTTGCCCCTCTCCTTCCTGCTTCTGGGACAAATGACACAGGTTTTCTGCCAACCCCCGGAGCTACTGGCACCCTGCCACGTTCCTCCTGACCCTGGGTCCATGCAACTCTGCACTACTGGACTGTGATCTCACAGCTCCCTGCCTCATCAGCCTGCAGCCACAGGAGTCTGGGGGGACCCCGCGAGCATCTGGCCCATGAACTTGAGTTGGACTAGACTGGGGCTGCTTTCTGGATAAAAATTTCGTTCTTGTTATAAAGTTCTTTTGTTTAATTTGTGTTCTCTAGAAAACCTAGCCTAACACAAATTGGTACCAGGAGAGGGACCTAGAAAAACAAAAGAATGAGGATGGCGGATTGAGGCATGTCTGACCTCTGCCGTATGGCAACTGGATGGAGCATGGTTTTCCTTCTCCTCTGGGCAGCCAGAGGCCAGATACAGCCTCCAACGGGTTACTCATTTGAGAATGTGGAACAGACAGGATCCTTTGATGTGGCTCCAAATTCTCTAGATTGAACTCTGCTCTTAGAAAACAAGCCTGTTCTTTAATGTGAAGAAACTTCATTCCAGATGAAACGTTTGGTATCTGCATCCATACACAGAGCTCAATCTGAAGAATCAGTGCCAACCTCAGTACTTCAAACTGAGAATATTTTCACTAGCCCTGGCTCAATGTTTGGCTTAGAGAAGGGTAAGACAACTTGGGTAAGAAAAGACAATCAATCCTCTGTGTCCAACACAAAGGTGACACAGTTACCGGGCTGATCTGACAAGGATTGTAAAGCAGTCAGAATGAACATGCTTCAATGAGTAATTCTGGACATGCTGAGAAAAACAACAAAAGGTAAGAAAGTCTCAGCAGAAACAGAAGATTGCATCAACACCCTAGTGCAGCTTTTCACTCTGAAAGGGGCGTTAACCAAAACCAAAATCTCAGTGGATGGGCTAGCCAGCAGAATGGGAGGGGCGGAGAAAGAACCAGTGGCCTGGAAGGCAAAACAATAGAAATTACTCACTCTGAACAACAGCAAACATGGGAACTGGTGCGAAAAGAACAGTGCCTCTAAGACCTGGGGACAATAACAAAAGACCTAAGATTCATAAGACCAGAGTCCTGAGAGGAGAAGACAAAGTGGGTAGGGCTGACATTGTTTTTGAAGAATTAATGGAGGAAAATTTCTCACGTTTCGTAAAAGTCATAAACCTATCAATTCCAGAAGCTGAGAGAAGACCAAACAAAATAAACATGAAGCAATCCATGCCAAGACACATCCAGTCAAACATCTTAAAAACTAAAGATAAAGGGAAAAAATCTTAAAGAGCAGCAAAACGGAAATGGCCCTTTGTCTGCAAAGGAAACATAAATCACAGACACTGGATTTCGCATCAGAAACCTTGAAGGCGACAGGAATTGATGCAACATGTTTCACCTGCTGAAAGAAACTGTCCTGTCCACTCACAGAAGTCATGGCTGACCCCATGGTACAGAATGGAACTGCCCCACAGAGATTTCTGGCTTGAACTGCGTGAGAGCAGACGGCAAGACTGTTCTCCCACAGAGCCATCGGGTGGCTTTGAAGCACCGACGTTTCCGCTAACAAGAGTGCTTCACCGTTGTACCATCAGGGCTCCTTAAATAACTATTAGGTTGAGCCATTGTGTATGTATTTCTCTAAATCCTGATCTCTAGCCAACCATAACTAGTTTCAATGTTCACCTTATTAATTTTTGGCCTTTGTTCTTTTCTAATAAAGGACATAAATGAAAATATTTTTCTGTAACAACTGCTTAAGTTGCTTCTCACTAGTTTCAACATTGGGAATTTTTATTATCAGTCACTTGAAAATTTTGTTCACATTTGATTCACGAGTCCCATGGGTTATTTATAAATATTTTAGTTTCCAAACATACATGATTTTCATGTCGCTGATTTACAGTTTAATTTATTTTTGGCCAGAGAACATACCCTGTATGATTTCAATACTTTGAAGTTTGCTGAGACGTGTGTTGGCCCATTTTTATAAATAGCCTGTGTATACGTGATAAAACTCTACAGATGTTGAGTACAGTGTGTCTTATGTATTTCCATTGGGTCAAGATTGTTAATCATTTTGTTAAAAACTAAAAGAAAGAAAATAACTCAGCTCAGGATCCTGTATCTTGAGAAATTCC